TTTGACGGACAGATGGTGGAGTAAAGTGTTTAGTTTATGTAGGAATAAACCCACGCAAGTTTTTGTATGATCCGGAATTATATATATATTAACTACAATGAGACCATTACCTACAATTTCCACACCACAACATTCAAAGTATAGTTTCGATGCCAATTTCGAAACGATAGGTAGGGGTTTGAAGTCTAAAATACTTTGTATTAAAATGCATGTGCCCCCTTTACTGTTTTCGCGACAAGAACTTGCCGCTAATTTATAATTACTAAGTTTTATGTTACTTTCCGAACCTCTTTTTACAAATGTTTCACGAAAGCATATTATATCAACCTCATTGCCGGCGTCATATAATTCCTTAAAAGTGATCTCTAAAAGATCTAATTTACTACAAAGACCTTGTATATTCTGATTAAAAATAATAAAATTGTCAGTATGAGTTTTAGATGTCGAATGTTCATGAATATTATGACAAAGATGATAACAAGTCGGTTTCTGAATGTCTACGATACAGGCGAAAAAAATTACTAACGTTAGCTGAAGGCATAGAGTTGTGTAACTTACGCAATTTAATGCCACTCTCAATGAACTCTCTCCTGTAATTTAAAAAGTCGATCTCTACATTTAGTTTGAATACAATAGAGTTCCAGGATATTTGATCTTTAATATTAATTAATGTACAATTTATATAATTTTTAGTGAATCTTTCTAAGTCATAATTTAAGGTGGCTGTGTTCAAATATTTGTTATTACGTATATTAAATAATAGTATATTGTTATTTCTGAATTTATACAACATGTTGCATATGTTTGTTAGTAGTGTAAAGGGATTTCTATCATTACACCCCACAAAAAACAATAAGATCTTCTTTCGTTATAACATTTGTCGTGTGAGTTAAGTCATTTACAATATGTGAGCTAGAAGCATAGGGTTTTACTACTGCTCTTACGTCGTATTTATCATTCCACTGACCTCTTCTGGAGTAAAGCAGTCTCAGAGATAGTCCCCGCACTTGTTCGTCGCCAAAGATATATATTATCGGTTTTTGTGTACACTTGTGGATGGGCTAACACTACTTTTCTTCGGTGGGGGTGATTGTAGTGGTACTGGATTTTTTATGTTTTGTGTTCGTTTTCTTGAAGTCAATGAGTGGCTTGCTGGCGTGCTCATGCCAATAGGATTTTGAAGAGACATTTGCTGGTGATTGTGTTTATGTTTTGTGTCGCTCGTGGTAGTAGTTTTTGTTTGATTCCCGTTGAGATCAATGTAGCTCTGATCTAGTATTTTTTTGAGCCCTTTCTTTTTGTTTATTTGTGTTGTTTCGCGATGACGTTGTACTTAGTCTTTTTAGATTGTTAATTACATTCTCTTGGGATTTGATTTTATCTTGTAAGCTATAGTTTTCTGATAACAAATTAACAATTTCATTATCTGCTATCTGCAATTTTTCTTGTAACTCTAAAATATTTTTTTCCATTTTTTCAGCTTTATCGTAAATCATTGTTCTTTCTGGACAACTCCTATTATGCTCACTGGTTGATTCACACATGATTCACTGGTATGCGTAATAAGTACTTTTTTTATTGGTACTTGGTAAAATAATGGGACGGACAAGTCGTGCGCCTGGTGGTAAACAGCCTGTTCATAACAGTTGCAGTATCACTCAGTTTTGCATCACAAAGATGTGATAAATAAATCAAAAGCAGGTAAGTAAGATTTTGTGAAAAACAATATCAGGAAATTAACAATCTTCTCCCGCGTAAAATCAAAAGTCAACAATGACAAATGTTAGCTACAGCCATCGAAAACAAAAACAATGTACAATTTATTATATCAAATATAAAGAAAATTCTGAGTTGGCCATTAACAATATTTTATTTGAAAATATATTAATGGACTCATTTGTATGCCACTGTAAATATTTTGTAATCTTTAAGGACTTACTAGTGTGAAGAATGATACACTGGGTATCTCTTCTTTTGGCTCACCGTCCGAAACGCTGTAATGTAAAATAGAGTTTAACACAACACTTGTACCTCACAAGTCTTAGTAAATAGAGGTTTGTTTTGATAGCATAATGTTCATTCATAATGTACCTACAGCTTTTCGTTATGAATAAATCTATCCTAATAGAAACTGTTAATATATTTCTTTATGTCCTTTTTTGTCTTACAAGAAACTGACTCGATCAGCATTAAAAAAATTTCCCCTATATTCAATTTGACCAAAAAAATGACTGAGTCAAATTTGTATTCACAGAAATGGTATATCCTAGGTTTCGGATTTCCCCATACGGTCTCAGTTAAAAATCAGTACTATGTAAGGGAACGGGGGAGCATAACGGGGTCGCAGGCCACTCACAGATCTAAGTAGCTAAATATGCTAGGCAGTGTACTGCTTTGCGAATAAGCGACCATCTTCGAACGGCGGTCAGCGCGAAAGTGACTGGAAGGGAGACTGCTCGTGTTCGTGTTTTACGAGTAAAAACAATTTTTGGTCACTTTTCATCTAATTTTGTGTTACCACAAATACACATAAAAAGAAAGTACTCAAGTTTTAATTCAATAATACTGAAAACAAATCGTAACATACATTAATTTCAATGAGTATATATTAATAAGGAACATAACTACAAAATAACAAAAACAAACAATAGTATCAACTTGAGTAACTATGTGAGTGGCCCCATTGTGCCTTAACCAGTTAGTAGCAACTGAATCATAATAGGCGCTCAAAGGCTTCATAAAGCCAATATCCAAAGGCTGGACCCAGTGCATGCAGTGTGGGGGAGAGCAAAGTAACAGTTGCAGTGCCAGTCAGATTTAAATCACAACGGCCACCACTGCGCCAACGGTGATGGACAATGTACTTAACTGTAATTTCACCATCACGCTTCAAAACCGGAACGCAGTAATGCTCACATTACTGCTAGACTGCTTACTTAGCGTCAGCAAGGGGTCAGATATCTCGGTGCATCGACTCACACTAATTATGTTGGACGCCGCCGCAGGACTCAAAAAAAACCGAAAAAGAT